GTCTAGGTTGTCAGGATAGGCGGGCACAAACCAAGCATCACCGTCAAGCCTTGCTGCAAAGAAATACTTGTTGTGTACTCGTGGGTTGAAGTTGGCAGGGGGGACTGCATCTGCAGCGGCCGGACAGCTCTTGGGAAACAGACGCGGTCACGATGTCACGCCATCGTCATCATGAACAAACGGGCTAGACTACATCGGGAAGTCAACTTGACGGAGGGTGCTCGGGTGACACCGAAGGGCGCGCAACCAAAGGGCGTGCATGCAGGCAAAGAGCCCGCAACAAGGGACCAACCCGGGTGCATATCCTACGAATCCGTAAGCTTCAAGTAGATAGAGTCGTACGATATATGTTTTCCCTTCTTCCGCGCAAGCAAGGCGGGATGTGCTGCCCGTAGTTAGCGCTTGAAGTATCGCACGAATATTCTTCTACTCGCTGACTTTCGCCCGTGACTGGATCTTACGTTGAAGTTTTGGTGGGTGACGTGCTCTGAGCTCGGGGCAATTTTGTGCTCCAAATCGTGTGTGTGTCAGACGGGCCAGGCGGTGGATGTAGAGAATACTATAGGCGATTGATGACGACCTGATCGTAATCAACGCTAAAAAAATACCTACTACTTGTACGCGGGTCGGCACTACGTGTGCTCGCGCCATCCAGAAGTTCAAACCTACAAACACAACCCCGTTCGCGCGACTTCGGTGTGTGGCTTGTGCCCGCCGTAGAGCACCACGGGCAAACCATGCTAAAAAGGCGAAATATGCTCTCGCACATGCGCACATGTTTACGAGAAAGTGCGGGCGTAAGCGTAGATGACTGCTCCCCACACGAAGAGGCTGCAAAATGCCGAAAAGGGAGGTTGTGGAATGACCCCGTTGAGAGAGCTTTCTCCCTTACACGTGTCCTGTAGGTTCGCACCCTTGTAAATACTTGGGGGCAATTGATCTACGCATACCACGGCACACCTGTGCATTCGTCCGCCGCACGTTTTCGACACACACACAATTTTTTTTGTCGGGCAGATGTCGGTTGGACGCGCAGCGAGGGCGCAATACTTGAGCGCACGTTTCGCCGACCTTCTCTCGTGCGTCAGATATGTGGGTGTGCCGGTGCGTCAATCGCTTATTATGCAGTGTACGGCGTATATATATATCGTTACGAGGAAATGGACGAGTCCAAATTCCAGGAAAATGAATTAAGGCTCACCGCCATTTCCCTCTAGATTTGCCTCGATCGCGGTCCGCTTGAATGCTGAAGACCGCCGTAGATGTGAATGCCATCGAGACTGCTGGACCTGGTTATGGCGAAGGCGTCGAAGGTCTCCCTGCCGGTGCGGGAGCCATGGGGCCGGTGGTGTTGCCATGTATGTCCACGGTTTCGTTCCTCTGGCAAATACTCCAGGCTGCTAGCTGAGAAAATGGTCGCACGTGCAAGGAGAAGCAAGGCTGAATATTTCAGAGCCACAACAGACGTCGATTTTGTTAATTTAACTTCCGGCGTTTAATCCGGCGTATACGGTGTGGCACGCATTTGTGACGTATGTATGCTGTTACCCATATACTACTGCTGTAAACTACAGAGAACATACAGTTTACAGCAATGCAGACAAAACACAGATGATCAGCACGTTCTGGAACCGTTTCTCGATTCTCGTGACGATTTTGTTACCCTCGGCCTCTTTGCCCCGCTTGGCAAGCTTAGCATTATTATTACTGTAGCAAAGATACCGCCGTCGGTCTACAGCAGCACAGCCATCCCAACGTGTCGGATTTTGGTTGGAGATGCTGCCTCATGTGTGAGAAGCTGAACGCGTATACTGGATGCTGCTCGTGATGCTGGCTGCAAGCAAGCAGCGGCTGTGCTCTTCTTGTACAAATCAATCAGTCTAACGAGCACAAGCCACTACAAGCAGGAACCACACCTCGGAGAGAGAAATCCATGTGTGGTACAGCGATCGCGCCCTCTGGACGCTACACACTGAACAGCACCACCAACGTTGTCCCACCAGGGCAGAGAAGCCCTCACCTTTAAATATTTTCCGCTGCGCGATGAGCACTTGTCTACCCTGCCCGAGACCGAAAGAGCAAGCGGCCGCCTCGATGCCCCCACCGGATGGAAAAGCTCCGACTCAAGGGCATGTCCTGCTCGTGACATGAACTGCTGCGTCGGCTGGCGGCTGCTCCGCTTTCAGAACTCTGTCTTCCTTCCGCTCGAATTTTTCGAATTATTTTTCAGATCCATTTATTTTCCGACACACCGGGGACACCGGGGACACGGGGGCCCCTGGGAGCATTCTCCTCTCTGCACGCATGCGTGCAAGAAGAGTCGTCGCCCCTGCTTCTTGATGTGCACACACGCCACCCGTAACCCTGCCGGGTGAGGGGCCAAAGCAACTCAAAGGTGTGTTTCCGCCGTATGCATACATACATACATGGCACGACTGTTTTCATGTTTCTTTCAACGCTTGCTACCTTGTAGAGGAGGATCTCCGATCAATTTTTTCGGGGGGTTGTCGGGCTTTAAAAGCCGCCTCTCCGATTCTCCGATGCCACAAGACGTTTTTCTTTTTTTTTCTTTTTTTTTTATTTCATCAATTGTTGTTGTTGTCTTCACATGAAACTCGTGCCAGTTGCTAATCCCAAAATCTCCCTATATATATGCTGTCCGGGAAATCGTAGGCATACAGGTAGCTTTTTCTGACGCTGTGAATTCATTGCTAATCTGTCTCTGACTCCTTTCTATGATAGAGATGGATTCGGTGTGTCATATTAAGAAACATAAAAAATCTAGCAAAGACGCGGTCCGTCCGTGGTCACAAAAATGCTACATACAAGCCATCAGAAGATCCAAAGAACACGCCCAACGAATCCAATCTCTATCGAAGATTTTTTTTTTCGAGACCATTTATTGTGAGATCGAGAGGTGGGTGCTATATGTATGATGCAACGCATTGAAGCCGCCTGCACATCATATGCATAACTGCTATAACTATAGACTAGCGGAGAGGAACACATGCATGCATCTGCACATACATCATCATTTTGAGTCGCTATTTCTGTAATTTACGCCCTTGTTGTAGGCGTAACGTGGCGACGATAGAGCAGCCCTATTTTTTGCCTATACGCTCCCCTCGTGCCCGGATGCATGACACGCTCCGGAACATACTGCGCCACGTGCATCACACGCTGCTTCTCGATGCTTAATGACCTGGCGGGCTGTTGTGGATTCGTCGGAGAGACTCGCTCGTTCCTTCGGAGACGCTATGAGGAAACCTACCTGCCCCGTAAGCCCTACGCTGAGAGACCAGTGATGCCAACTCGTGATGTATTCAAACGCCATTGGCTACGTACTGTATGTATGTATCTACTGATCGACCAAATATCATCACGGCCAAAATAGGTTGAGAGGTCAGTGCGGGCGAAAAGGATATATATGGTGGGAGGCATTGAGGGGTTCAGTGACAAAGGAGAGGAAAGAGACTGCTGGGAAGAAAATAGAAGTTTGAAAACGATGATCGAGGAGGAACACATAGATATGATGATATGATGATGGCGTGCAAGAGTTTCGAGTCAGATTCCCTTCCTCACCACAAACAAGCACCACCACAGGGATAGAGAGGACTTACCAAAAATATAGTGGGGCGTTTGCGAAGAGAGTGAGTGGTGGTGGTGAATGCGGGGAGGAATGCGAACACACTCGAAACGAACGCGTGCGCAAAGTACCAATAACAGTCTTGGTCAACACGTGCAGATTTCTTCTGTTGATACTGCCTTTTTTTGTAATGAATCCGGCGAGTAGCTTACCCCCCCCATGACGCACCCTCACGGGGTCCCAGATCAGGGCCACTTGTGTCTTCAACGGACCGTACTGAGTCGTTGGTCAGCCGGTGAGCGTGGTCGATGCAAATAATATTGTTACTGTTTCAGGTCTTTCCTAACATGTGCAGGATGAATCTGGAATGAATGCAAGACCCACGCACGCGTGAATCTACTGATGATTCTCCCGCCAACATTCAACGACATCTTTCCCGCTGGAAGCACATTTTTTGCCATTGTTAAGGGGTGCTGCTGTAGGGCATAGATAGGGTACATCTCGGTCTCGAATAGGCCAGGAGGCATGCCTCTGAGGGATCATACTACATCAGGACTTGGCTATCTGCGTGCCCCCTGTTTGAGAGGTAGACCACCTCATCCAGAGCTCTCTCTCTCTCTCTCTCTCTCTCAATTCAAGTAACATCCCATTTCTACACAGGCATCACGTGATGGTACCTCTTTGTTTACCCTAGGACCTAGCTGCTTCCAACAGCTGGGGCTCCTTCATACCATCCGTTGAGTGGCGTTTCGAAGTCTACAGGGCAAGACCTAGAACGACAACATCTTTTTGCATTTCGAACAACACATCGCTTCCAGGGCAGAAATGATAAAAAACAAACGACGTTTATACAATACGCCACGGTCGCCCGCCGCATCGCCAGTAAATCGAACGAAACCGGTTGTTGCATGCCTAGTCTGAAGACGGAAGCGACAATGGCAAAACGGGCCTCCAGCGCAGGCAATCTGCCTGGCTCTCGCTCCCCCCCGCCGTCCCTCTCTCTCTCTCTCTCTCTCTCTCTCTCTCTCTCTCTCTCTCTCTCTCTCGCTCTCCGCCTCTCTCTCCGCCTCTCTCTGTGTCACTCATTTGATCAATTCCCTCCCTACCTCCCTCCCCCTCTTTCCCCCTCACGTGTTCTCGCTCTCGCTCTCATTCACAGTTCTCTCACCCTCTTTTCCTCCCTGCCTCTCTCTCTCTCTATCTACAAAGTCATTCACTCACTCGCTCCCTCTCGCTCGCTCTCCTTTTCCTATCTCGCTCTCTCCAGCTCTCCTGTTTCGATCGAAAGACTCTCCATCTGACCACGTCCTCCGTAGAGCTGGCCGGCTGCTCACGTCATGTGTCGACGAACAAACTATTAGCAACATGTTCTTTGTTCCTCACGCGCCACTTGCCGTTGTGCGAAAATGTCTTTTCACCCCGTCGCCCCTCCGGCCTCAAGATCGATTCCGTCCTCGTCATCACCGCTTGTGTTACCACCGTCACCATGCTCCTGCTCGTTACGGCGTCAACAGGAAAGCAACCAGCGGGCGACGGATTGAGGGCGATCGTCGCAACCAAGCGCTGCTGCCCCCAAGCCTCATGTCGGCATCCCCGTACCGCATGCCATGCTCGTCGAGAAGGCCAGGACGCTTTCATGAACGTTCTGGTGCTTCGAAAACATGGCTGGCTGCGGTTCATTGGTTTCCATCTTGTATCTGTTGTGTCCGACGGCGGAAAAGTGGTCTCGTGAAATCGCGGCTACTTTCTCATCATGGCAGTCAGCAGCGTTTGCAGACGCTTTTGAACGCATTTTTCATCGAACCTACCTATCGATACACCTAACGACGAAGATACTCAACCTTGGCTCTCAAGGTTGCTGACGCGACGAAATGAAGGTAACAAGCGAACTTACATGGAACAGGAACCCCTCAACCTAGATAGGACGCATGTATTTCTGCGCTCAGCTTCACGCTAGAAAGTGCCGCCATTCAATGAACATGCCACCATCTCATTGCACTTCCATGATTTACAGTGTAACGCGGCTTTTCTAGAAGGAACATACTCAAGTCTACTTACCTCTCCGCTGTCGACGTCCGAGTCCTCCACCGCCGCAGGCAAGTTTTCCGCTGGGGGTGGACCAGGAGGCGGAGGCACAGATCCCCTCGGCGACCTTGATGTTGAAGGGGCCGTGGGTGCCATCGCAAACGTGGTTTACACGTCATACTCTTGTCTCGAGGGTTGTACGACCGTACTAAATATTGTAGTTTTCTAGCAGTAGTGCGAGAGAACACCAGGCTGAGCTCAAAAGTCAGGCCCTCGTCGTATCACCCCCTCGCCGAAGCGAAGTCGATATTCTACTTGCGTTGAGAAGGCGGAGGGCGAGCGATGTGCGAGGCTATCGGTAGTTATACACCGAAACAGGTCGGGCGTTGCAGGTAGTCCATGGTCGGGGCTCTTTTGTTGTCCTTATGAGGTTGGTCTAGAAAGAATGACTAGGGGGAGCCCGACGTCGATCACCCCAGTTGAAGGATGCAAAAGGTCGTGCGGTGTAGAATCCAAACTCTCCAAATACTCTTTGATCGTGGTTGGCTATGCTTAACGGTGAAGGGCGTGGAGCACGAAGAAACGCGGAACAGTGAAGTGCGGGAAGCGTACGATGGGTGGAGAAACTACAGGGAAACGGGCAGTGTCTGTAACCCCAAGAACCCCCCCCCGAAAAAAAGCCCTAAACACAACGTTTTCCTGAATACGTATGCTCCCTCCTGTCCGTCTCCGTCTCCCCCCCCCCCCCCTACGTTCCTATCTCCAACACGTACGTACCGGCGCGCAGCGGGCGACCCATCTTTCGGCGTAGTCGGAGGAGACGGAACCCTCGTCATGACAGGCTTCATCGATGGTGTGAACGCGGTCGCTCCACCCTCTCCCTTGGAAGCAACGCCCGTCACGGCTGGCGTCGCCTCGCCTCTCGCGGGAGGTGGCGCCGCCGGAGGCACCGGGGCCTTCTCACGGGGCGGGGGCGGAGGTGGAAACTCACTCCCGGCGGTGCGGGCCGGTGGTTTCGGCGGCCTGATGTTGTTGTCCTTGCCGCCGCTCGGAGATTCGGGGCATCTGGTGGGTTCGTTGTTCGAGGCGTGGTGAGGTTGGCGCACGCGCGCATGCGGGGTATGAGCAGCAGGGTTGGTTTTCACTGTCGGGAGAGGTAAGAAAACGGACGAGCTTGCCAGAGTTTTTTGCAGCTCTGTAAGTTGGTGTGGTGCGGGACGAAACGAGGAGTCGTTGTTGCAACCAAGACGACCATGAGGCCGCCCTAGAGCACCGGGATGATTTTAAACACACCTTCCATGCACGTGATGGCCAGAGAGAGAGAGAGAGAGAGAGAGAGAGAGAGAGAGAGAAGAGGTGGGTGGTATGTGATCGCCGGAGTTTACTGAAAATTTTCGGCTCGACAGCAGTGTTTGGACCTCTCACAAGCGTATTTGTGCTCATGCACGGAAAAAAAACTGTGACCCAATTGAAGCCGAAAACCCTTCGCCTAACCTGTCCTGCGCGGTACAATTGAAGCCAAAGGACTGGAGCGGAACGCATTTCACTGTGCTGCACATGCAGAATCCCGAGTCTATTTCTGCCACAATCACCTTGATGGTGGAGAGAGGGGTTTCGACTTGACCGTCGGCGGTGTTGGTAGCGGCGGCTGCTCAATGATACCGCTTGATTTACAATGGAATTGGAGAGCATAGGGGGGGCGGCGGGGGGGGGGGGGGGGGGGGGGG